TTCATAACATAAAAAAAAACATAATGTCACAAGCCTTTTTTGAAAACGTAAGGAGTAGAAAGTACAGATATTTGTTTAAAATTTAGAGCGTAAAAGTAAAAAGTTCTCAAAAAAGAAAAAAAAACAGACATTTGAAAATTCCACTTAGCACTGGGAATGCCTGCGCCATAGGTAAATTTGAACTTCTGGTATCCACCATAATCACTATGGTGGATACCAGAAGTTCAAATTTACCTATCTGTGATATGGACTGAGAAACACACAAAATTCAAAAGTTGATGCAATCTTGTTGTAATGAATGAATATAGAGACTGAAGCCATTTGCACTCATAAAACACAGTTTGGAAAAATGTGTATCTTACAACAAGTAATAATGAGCTAATCCATGTGTTTCAATGAAGAAACTGAGATTCCGGGTTGGATGATTGTATTATTGCTGTGTTTTGTTTTGTTTTTTTGTACTTCTGTCACAATTGCTTAGGCAATGAAAGGTTGCTGGTTCAATGCCAGATGTAGACAAGGAAGAGCATCTGGTGTAAAACACTTCTATACCTGCTATAGCAACACCTTGTGTCAACACAGCAGCTGAAAGGAGCGTATTCCCTTGTCAAAATCTTCAAAATGCTGTAGCAGAGCTGACTTTGCTTAGAAGTTCATTTGTATCCGAAACTTCTGTTAGCGATGTGAGTCATCTTTCCAGTACTTGCAGCCTTAAACAAGATGAATTCATTCCTGTCGTGAAAGTTTGGACCAAGAAGTAACTTCTCTTCGCTCTCCAAATGTTGTAATTTGGAAGAAATTTGGCGATTATAAAACACACTTCCGTTTAGTCAGCTTTGATGTTTATCTGTGTTTAGGCTGATGGAAGCATATTAATACCCATCAATAATGTCACATAGAGCATAAAGAAAACCTTGCCTTAAAAGTTTAGGAACTACAATACATGATGTAAATTTATGTTAATTTAATTTGCTCCAGAGATGCAAAGTGCTGCTGTGTTTCAGCTTCATTTAACAGGGAAACAAAAGACCTCAGCTGCCTCTAAACACTGTTTTTCCACTGCATTTCCTGCACAGCATCAATTTTTTTTTCATTCAACCAGATTTGAACATAAAAACAATCCTATATGCAATGTAAAAGTTTGCTTTAAGGTCGTAAGTGATGATTAAAAGGACATTCAACACAAAGATCAGCCAAAGTAGAGCTGATCTGTAAAAATCAGCAAGATTCTGGTTCAAAAAGAAACACATAAAAGTGTCTTTAACCACCCATCCAAACAGCAATGGCTTTGTTCCAACAGCAGACACAAAAGCAGATAAAAAGCTTTGCATCTCTTCTATATGACTGGGGGACAGAGACTAAACAAGCACTCAGAGGGATGGAGAGGAAGTCGTTAAAAAGCAGTTACGCCACTTAAAACGACGGTTAGCAGAACCCATATCGTGTAATTTCCCCAGTTGGTCCCAGGAGGAAATTTATTACCCTTTAACCTCTTTAACCACCAGAGACTAAAGCTCTCAGCCAAGGTCTCACTCAGATGTCTGAATCACCTGGGCTGCTTCTGACAGCAGAACCCCAAACTAGCAGCTGTTACAGGACATGCAAGCTATATAGTTTCATTGAATAGTTGCTATTTCTCTCTGTGAGGACAAATAGGAATTCAGGATAACAACAGTAGGAACATTTTTCAAGCATTTTTTGTGTGTTTGAATCTCAGTTGGAACAACATAAAATCCATACATCCTGTCACAGGTAAACACAGTTTCCTTCTGCACAGTGATAAGGCTGGCCAGTCTAATACGGCAGACAAATTAGTTCCTACGAGAAACTACTTACAGGGTCATGATTTACACAAAGCAACATAGATACTGAGTTTTTCTTGCTTTTGGTTTACATTAATAACTGGCTCTTTTAAAAACAACAACAACAACAAAAAAAAAACAAGTCGATGACAAGGTGAAGTTTCTCTTTAAACGAGTCCTATTGTGCTTTTATCCTTTGCTTTCTGCCACTGGTATTCTAAAGCCATTCTGGATATTAATGTCAAATACAGTCATTCAACAACATTGTTGCATCACCCTGGTTACAGGTTCTTTTTATCTGTTTCAGGTCTCATCACATCGGTGCTGGTGTGTGATTGACAGGTGATTTGTGTTAAAACATTAATCTGTCTATTCCCATAATCCAGAGCAGGGAAACACCTCTACTGATGTCATTAAGAGATGCAGAGTATTATAAAATTATGGGATACCTTGTGGATGTAAATACCTTACTCATTTTATGAGTGTGTTTGCCCAAGGTTTTGAGGGTTCAGGAAACATATTCCAGCTTTCAAAAAACCTTTCTTTCAAATACTTAGTGAATAATCAGACCCATCACATTTTTAAGACCTCATAGTAGCACCACACAACACACGTTGAGTGGGAGGCAGAGCCTTGCAACTTCAGGCCCCTCTTTTGTGGAACCAGCTCCCAGTTTGACACCCTCTCTACTTTTTAGATTAGGCTTAAAACTTTCCTGGATCAGGTGACCCTGACTCCTCCCTTAGCTACGCTGCGACAGGCCTAGGCTGATGGGAGCTCGCCTCTTTTCATTTTTATACACCTATTTGGATTTTAATAATTAATAGTCAACTATAACTTTCTCTTGCTCCCTGTTGTCCTGTCTGTGAGTCACAGCAGATGGCCTCCACTCCCTGAGCCTGGTTCTGTTGGAGGTTTCTTCCTCTGAAAAGGAAGTTTTTCTTTCCTGCTGTTTCCACGTGCCTGCTCATGGCGAGTCGTCTGATTGTTGGGGTTTTCTCTTTATTATTATATGAGCTTTCCCTTAAAACATAATGTACCTCAAGGCAACTGTTGTTGTGATTTGGTGCCAAATAAATAAAACTGAACTGAACTGAAGCGAAAAAGTAGCTGCAGCTATAAAGGTTAGTACAGACTGAATAGATTAACTTATGCATATAAATGATGTTGCTATGACTGTTCGGTTGGTGAGTCTTCCTAATTTTATTTATAGGGTCAGCATTTATAAATGTTCCACTGTCTACAGTCTGCAGTGAATTAATCACACTTTTCTCCATGAACAAGAAAACTGTAAAAGAAGTACAGCATTTTTTGTGTGTCTTTTAGATTTATTATTGGTATGTTGTTAAAGAAAAACATTAGCTTTTAAGAGACTGACTGCAGGCTGAAGGAGCAGAGACTCGGCTATGCAGCAGATCTAGACGTACTGAGACCGGGTACTTTGCAGGAGAACATTTCTCCTTTTCTTGGGATTCACTTTATACACTTTCATTTTGTTTCATCAATCAAAATGCAGACGACTGCTGTTTTGTGTAGAAGACTTATTCATAGTAGTCCTCTGATGGGAGCTGTGTGAAACCACAAAAATTACTTTCTTTTTAAGTTATTTTTTGCAGACATGATCCATACCGTTCCCCTGTTTACCTCTCCACTCATTGGGCATCGCTTTGCTGTTGCTTTCCTTTGATTTTCTAAGCATAAAGTTTGCATTTGGAGCACTTTGTGGTTTCTCAGCTACATTGGAAAAGACAATGCATCTCTTTATTTGCTCCACGGGAAAGACAAAAACACCAGCAGTCAGCTGATGTGTAGAAGAGCAAGTAACCATTTTCATGAAAAATGTATCATCGCATTTGCGTGGATGTTCTGTGCTAAAGAGCATCAACAAAGACATTTATTTGAATGGCAATGACAGCTTTTGAGAGAAATGAGCAATAAAGAACAAATAGCTAAATTCTGCAGTAATGACTTCACATTGTGATGCATGAAACCATTAAGGAAAAAAAAAAGCACTACTTTTTCCCTTCTTTGGTCAAAAAACCTCCAATGATTCAGAGTTTTGCATAAAGAGTGAAATATATATGTAACAAGCATCAATACTGAGTTGGTTGGCTTTCATTGCATCATTTCTACACAGCCGTCTCCTTAAGTTCATCCTAATTCTTTTTCTGATTATCCTTAAGGGATCCTTTCTCAAACTGGGGTGCACTTGCAGCAAGGCTAAGATGAGATGATGCATAGCTCCGCAGCAATAGACAAGTTTGTAAAAGGACCACTGGGTAAACATAAAAGGGCCGATGAATGTACACCAGATGTCACAAAACTTGAACATGTTTTTATCTACAGGCTGGGGCGCTGCCAGGCTCGGCTGCCTCGTACATTTGTCCTACACCCCACCCACTGCTAGCCTGCATCACACTGCGCTTAACTTTCAGAGTCTGAGTATTCTTCATTTTTCCTCTCATGTTCCCCATATTTTGTACCTGTGCTTCCTTTCCTTTATCCCGAAGTGAATGGAGCATTAAAGCTTTAACTTTGTGGATTATTTGGGTGATTTTTGGAGGGAACACAGCAGTCTCACTAGTCAAACAAACTGGAGTTTGGGGTCAAACATGCTCGGGTGTGGTAAGAATGTTCTAGTGTGGTTATGTCCTCAGGACACCTATCAGGCAAAGACAGAGGAAACGGCAAAAACAGATGAAATGTCTGCAGAGTGAAAGCAGGGAGATGGTGTTTTATGGTCCGTGTCGCCTTGAGTTCTCGGGCTGGCTGCTCACTGCAGGAGGTACAGGTAGGCAACTTTTAAAAAAACCAAACCTTGGTCTCATTGTAAAGCTTTTATTTTGTTCATGAAAAAGTACACGGAGTAGCATAAAAGCTTTCCGACCAACTCGGTGACAAAGGGTTGACGTAAAGCTTTGGACTGACTGACAGTTTATTATTTATATATACAGCAGGTGTTGAAGTTATGTTAAGTTAAAACAGATGGATTTTGTTTGATTCTTGCACTGTGCTTTGACTGAGGTTTCACATGTTAACCGCGCATATCAATCCTCCTGTCAGTAAAGTCCATCTTCCCATCTTTTAAAACATCCTATGGCTCTGACATCTCGATTTTTTACATAAAAGTCATCATCCTTGTAGAAAAGTGTTTCTTTTTTCTTTATAAATCAAGCATAAATGTGCCATTACCTTTGTTTTTCTTTTTAATAAATTAATTGTAGCATTTCACAATGGCAGAGAATTTGGATAATAAGCACACAAATCACCATTTATTGTGCATCATTAAATATTATGTACATCAAAGTGACACCATCGATTACTTCCAGGGAAATGGAGTCCAACACATTTGCCAGTGTTTCTAGCAAATTATACAACATTTACAAAAAAAAAAAGGTAACAAAGAAAAAAGCTCAGTGGTATTTTATAAAGCACTGAGAGTAAGTCCTCCTGATCTGTACAGGACCAGGTCAGTGAGCAGTTATTTAGCAGTCCTGCTAAATAAAATACTCCTTCTGGTTTTCACTGGGAGCGCTCGGAGAATCCGGCTGGCCGCTGAAGGGGAACTCGTTACTGTCTTCAGGTTGAGCTGCTTTCACTTCCTGGTTCCGATATGTTTCTTTCCTGCTGCATATGAATCTGGCCATCACTGCCAATGCGGATAAGGTGACAAAAATCACAACAGCAATCACCCCTAAAAACAACAGAAAGGTAAAAAGAAAGAAAAATAATTGTTGAATTGTTTTGGATGTTGTGTAATTGTGCTAAAAAACCTGAAAAAAATTATCGCTCTAATTTTTAACCATATGTTAAAAATCACATAAGGGTAGCATGACATGTTTACTTTGATTACACAAACATAGGAAACATACCTAAACATGAGTAAGGAAAATTTCAGTGGATTGTTAAGTTGGCCCCACTTTACACCCCGACAAAGTTTTATTCAATTTATTTGAAACTTTTCAAGCTTACAGACAGAATGACACCATGCATGCAAGCGTTACCAAAAACAAAACCTCCTTGGTGGAGGTAAGAGCAGCTTTCTGCAGAGTTGAAGAATGTGCCCACCAGCACCTCTAAAACTCACTTTGTCACATTTGTTTAATCTTTAGCCAAACAAGGCTGCAGCCAAACACTGTGTTTAGATGCACTTAAGTAATGGATTAAAGTCTGCCGTCCACAACAACCTGTCATCGTAGCTGCCCCGCAAATGAGAAATTTGGTTTCTATAACCATGGTGCAGGACAGAGAGAACGACCTGGCAGTTCACAAAGTTCCTGACTGCCTTCAAGCACACATACGACGAAGCAGCAGTGAGTCACACATGCAAAAGAAAGCCCACATAAACACAGTCACAAGAAAAACTGACGAATAACCAAAAAAAGGTGTTCAGTTCTACAGAACTGCATCTTCCCAAAGGTTTTGATTCAACTTTTATAATCTATTGATTTGTTCTTATTCCTGCTGAGAAGAATAGCATTACCTCCAATTAGAGCGGAGTCACTTCTGATGGTGTTGACTAAAGGCTGACCTGGATCCACTGAACCAGGCTGGCCTGCAAACAGAGGCAGAGGAGAAAAATACGTAGAGCAAAGATGAGAAGGCAAGAACATACACACATCTATCTCTATCTCTATATATCTCTACATGTATATATACATATATATATGAAATAAAGTGACAGAAGGTAGAGTTACTGAGAAAGCCATCAGTCAGTACTGAGAGTGCTTGTTTAAAGTCTCAGCACAGCCTTAAAGGACCTCACTACAGTTGTCTGACTAATCTCATCTGCCGCTGTGCCATCACTCTGTCTGTTTACCGAGGAGGATGGTTAATGAGCCAATAAGAAAGTCTAATGAACAGCCATAAGAATAATATTAAAGGCGTACCAGACAGATTCCCACACCAGGAGAAGGTGGGTGGATGGGAGAGGGCTGGCCAATAATATATACATAAACTGAGCATACAGAGGCTGACTTTGCTCCCTGTACCTGAAAAGGAGTGTGTTGTTTCTGCTGCGTAGGTGTTGGCTGGAGAAGAGGAACCACAGCTTGATTGTACCAATGGGCCGGTGACAATAACAGGGCTGTCAGGATGGAGCAGAGCAGCTTTCAGAGGACTGATGGAGTTAAAATGAACACCTGACAGGCAGCCAGTGAACCCAAGCAAGGCCAGCTCGGCCATCTCAGCATCCAATCCATCAGGCTCTGAATCCAGAGGGAGAAACACACAGCAAGGAGAGGGAAAAGGGGGCAGATAAATAAAACCTCGACTTTGACGACAATGAACAACCACTCATTATGTTCAAAGTCTTTGATTGCTTTAACAGAGTTATACAGTTATACAGTATTCGTACACATCAACAGCAATACGATGACAGTATCAAAAGGTTGGGAAAGTGAAGCAAACTTTAAAGAAAAAATAAACGTCAAAGGGCTGTGATGGTCTGCTTGCCTTTGTCACTGCTCTATTTCTTTTCTACTTCCAGCATAGCGTATGAGTGGGGCAGGATAGCAGATCAGGCTAGTTGGAGACACCTGAGCCCAGCGTTTCCTATATAAACCCCACTCTTCCTCACACCTTTGAGTGCTGTTCTTCAACATGTTTCATGGTTTTGAGTCTCATGATAATTCGACCTCAGCACTGTTCACTCATCCACTCACACACCCTCACTCCTTTTCTTAATAATAGCACCTCGTCTGTTTCTGCTTGTTTTAATTCCATGTTTGTTTTTTTCTTAAATGATCATTCAGCCTTTATCCTGCATGTTTCTCTTTTTTGACATGGCATCAAAAGGCGGGTTGCGACTATGTTTTTTGAGATGGGGCATAAATCATAGCATCCAGCATCAAAGCCACACAAATTATGTTGTGTCTGTCGTGCTGCATCTGCACAAAATAGTGGCAATTTAAGTGACTTTGAACATGGCACGGTTCAACTGACGAGGCTGGTCTAAGTATTTCAGTATTTCTGCTGATCTGATGGTATTATTGGGATTTGTAACACTTCTGGGGTTTACAGAGAATGGCCTGAAAAAAAGGGAACATATCCAGTGAGCGGTGGTTTGCTTGAGTGAAAATGCCTCAGAGGTGAGAAGAGAATGGCTAGACTCTTGGAAGCTGACAGGAAGTCAACAGTAACTCAAATAACCACTTGTTACAAGCAAGATATCCAGAAGAGCTCTGTCAATGCACAACAGGTCAAACTTAGAAGCAAATTGGCTACAAAAGCAGAAGACCACACAAGCTGCCACTCCAGTCACCTAAGAACAGGAAACAGAAGCTACAATTTGCACAGGCTCACCAAAATTGGACAATTGAAGATTGCCTGGTGTGATTCTCGATTTCTGCTGCAACATTCGGATGGTAGGGTCACAGTTTGGAGTAACAACATGAAACAACATGCCTTACATCAACAGTTCAGACTGCTGGTGGTGTAATGGTGTGGCAAATATTTTCTCATCATATTTTTGGGCAGCTGAGCATCCTTTAAATACCACAGCAAACCTGAGTACTTTTGCTAACTGTCTCCATCCCTTTGTGACCACAGTGTGCCCTTTTAATGGTTACTTCCAAAATAATAATGCAACATATCACGAAGCTTAAACCACATCAAACTGGTTTCTTAAACTTGGGCAGTAAGTTCACTACACTCAAATGACCTCCACAGTCACCAGATCTTAATCCAATAGACCACCTTTAAGATTAAGTGTAATGAAAGATTCACATCATGGATGTGTAGTCAACAATCTTCAGCAACTGTGAGACGCTATCATGGCAATATGAACAGTTCTCAAGACAAAAGCAGGGTCCAGCCCAGCATAAAAAAAGTGTACCTATTTCTCATGTGCATACCTCTTTAAGGAGTGAGTCTTACTTTCTAATACAGTCACATCCCCGCTATGTGTGGCAGCAGGTGCTAAATAAAATCTTAAGCAGCTATAAATGTCAGTACAAACCACAATTATTCCTGCAGTGCAATTTGATTACACAGCACATCACTGGCAGTCATCTAAGTTATTACCAGAGAGAAACAACTTTTCACCACATTAATGGGACACTGCAGAGTGGCCTGGTTGGAGAGGCCAGTTTATCAGCTGCATATTTGATCAGGCGTTGAGTTTTTAAATTCAGCGTAAATTGACTTTGATTTAAGTATCTTGTGTCATGTTCATATATGCATGAGTCAGCAAGGTATGACTTAGGACAGGAAAAAAAATAAAAGGAAAAGCGGTGGTGGTAGAATGATGGATGTATTTGAAAGAAAACTAATTTCTTTAACACAGCATGCAGGCTCACAAGTCTAACCACCTAATGTATTAAGAAGACAACATCTCCTCTTGTGAGAAAAAATATACAAGAATATATATAAAAATATATATAAAAAATTAAAATATGTGGAATTGAACATCTCAAACTCAACATGTATTAGTAAAATTACAGCTGATGTGGCAAAAGTTTTGATACTAATCTTACACAATGAATAATCCTTGGGTGCAAAATGCTAAAAAGAGTCAAAAGGTGTTTATGTAGCCAAACCCTGACAGTATATGAACTGAAAAAAACTTTACTTCCACCTCCTTTCACTGTCTCTGTCTCCTTCTGTGAGCATCTGAATCTCTCCATTCTTTCTTGGTCCATTAGTTAGGCTGATGGATGACAGGGCTGGCAGGGAGCGACAGTATATCAACTATTTTGCTGCCTCTCTGATACTGATATGACTGCCCGAGTCCTCTGGCTTAGCATGGGGGCAGTGGGGTTACATACTAACACAGCCTGGGTCAAGAATAATAAAATAAAAAAATAAAAAAAAACATAACAAGGAGGACCTAAAAACAGCAACAGCATCAATTTATATCTGTTTCTTACTTGTGAACCAAGTACAGGAAGGAGTTCAGAAGCTTCCTGACAAAAACAAAATACAGCCCCAATTGCTTTATAAAATTTGGACACTGTGCAAATTGTCAATTAAAACAAAATGTAATTTAATCACATTTTATTCACAACACAACACAGAAAGCAAATGTATTTTATGTTCATTCCATTTATCCTCCTCTCCCACTCATTGTCTTATTTCATCAAAAGTATTGAGAAAAAAAAAACCCTACACATAGATATATAAGGGAATAGTGAAATGAAAGGCCTGATCTTGCAAAAAAAAAAATGTACGAGTCAAAACTGGTTTCAGAAAGTGTTGCTAATCCCTTGGCTCATGTACTTTAGGGCCAGGGCTAATGGATAAAAGTACTGGGCCACTCGATATCATGGCAAAATAGACACGCCGGTCCAAAGCATGAAATAGATATGAAATAGACATGGATGCAGAAGCAAGGGAAAGTGTTTAAATAGACATTCTTACACACATTAGCCGCCTAGCTTTCTGGCAACTAAGCAGCCTGGAATACACTTTATATGTTTTTTGTTCACTACCAGCCTCTTGGCTTTAAATTTTTTTTCACCCCTGCTAGTGTGCAACTTCTGCATGCAGCAATACAATTCCTGCATGCATGTCCATTTAATACTTTGGAGATTCAAACTGTGGAATGGAGATGGTGGATGTCGTGCCATTTACACATTTTTCTGTGATACTGGGTTGTTTCGGAGCCTTCTACACATTACACCTAAAGAAGCTGTTTGACAATGGAAACCCATGCCCTGAAGCTCCTGGCGCACACTGTTTGTGCTGATGTTAATGCCAGGGGAGGTTTGGACCCTGCAGTTATTGAGTCAGCAATATGCACTATTTACGGGGTGACCCTGTTCTGCTACTTTAGATGGTATGCCACTGTATGGCTGAGTTGCTATGATTTCTAAATGCTTCCAGTTTGCAATAACAGCACTTACAGTTAATTGTAGAGGAAAGAATTTTGACAAACTGACTTGTTTCAGTGGTGGCATCATATTATAAGAGCACTCAGATTTATTGAGCTGTTTATAACAACCAGTCCTTTCACAAATGTTTGTAAAGACACTACATTACTAGGAGCTTGATGTTTTACACCTGTAGCTTTTGAACTGAAAACACTTGAATTCAAAGGTTAAGAGGTGTTGCAGCACTTTTACCCTGTGCTACCTCTACATTTTGAGAAACAGTGATTTTCTAATTTAGCAATATAAAATCCTTTCTAACACCCACAGGTTCTAGCAGCAGTGAAAAATCCCAAGTGATGCTATTCAAAAATAGCGTAGGGAATTCACTTAAGTGTTTCTTTCATAATGAGAACTCCTTGCAGATAAATCAGCTGTGCAACTACTGCAGCAATGCTGAAATACAACATTCTGTCATAGAGGAATAGGGGGAACGGCACCTCCTGACTTCCTGGTTTAGTTTGACCCTACCCACAGCAGATTAGATTTATTATTATTTTTGGTTGTTATGCTGAATTGAAGGTGCTGACTCCAATCTTCTAAGTAATTTGTTCTTTTCATTCTCTCCTCATTACCATACAAAGTGAAGGACCTTTTTCTGAAGTTGTTATGATTACAGCTGTCTGAAGCCTCGCTCAGCTAGACAGATATAAAGACTGTGTTACTCACCGCCCTGATACCACAGATAAAACTGCACAAACATGCAGGTATATTTTGAACTTCTGCACTAGTGCCATTTAGACAATTATCTTAACCTAACATACTTTTAGATGCATCTACATCGCAGTGACTTTCGCAGAGTGCTGTCCTTTTCTAATCTCTTCAAGAGAGTGACCAGCTGAATATGGATGTTAGCTTGATTTGCTTCACAGAGTCACAGCTGTTGCTTGGGCTGCAGCTTTCCCTCTGTTCCAGACAACATGATGACCAGAGAACAGCACAAGGATCCAGAACACCACTTTGCCACATGAGGCCAAACATCTCAGTACTGTTATTCAAATGAGCCGGTACTGGTGCATGTCCTAAGATAGCCACACTCACCCTCCACTCTGCCCAGTATGAGTGATTTGATGCTGTTGAACTCCACATCAGATGTCAAGTTCAAGTCCTCTCTGGCGTTCTGGTCAATCTGAAAACAACATTAAGCAAAGACTTTTATGTCAAGTGTTTAAATGACGACGGCTATGTGAGCCACAGTGAAGGAAAAAGCATAACATGGGAGGATTATATGTTCAGCCTGGAGCCTGATCTGCATATTCTAATGAGAGGCAGTCTGAAATGTGACTGTGCGATTCACAGCAGCTGAGCAGAAAAATACTTAGGTAGTAAACATGTCTGAGAGAGATCCTCTCTATTTAAAAAAAACAAGCTAGGAAACAATGACATTTGGGCTTTAGTCTCATTTGTCAATAAGACATTTGCTAATGCTGAGACTTAAGTGGAGCGATAGAAAACAGAGTGGTTGTCATAGCTTGACTACAGAGAGGAAATCTGCCATTTATTATATTTTATTTTACTTCCGAAAGCATCCTTGTGCTCAGGGTTGGTTTTTAAATTAAAGAAATAGCTGCAAGCATCAGCCCACAATACTTCCCTTCCACTCAGAGCCTGCCAGCAGACTCCTTATAGCACCAGCGGCTAAAGCAGTGTGAGCAGCAGATTAATTAAACAATGTACTCTTTAGCTCTTAGACTTAAATGTTGGTGGAGTTCTGGGGGAAGAAAAACCTGTGTGTCATTCCATTTGGTGGTAACAGCCCAGCTTGCTTAGGTCTGCAGAAGCAGCAGAAACCTGTAAGAGAGAGTAAGAAAAATCTCCCGTGTGTTTGTATTCACCTGCACAGAGACGATATCTGCCAGTCTCCTAACGATCACTGTGTGCAGGCGCCCATCAGCCACGTTTATGACTCTGCTTCTCAGCGTCTCCACATCTCTGCCGCTGTGCAGCTTGTACCTCAGTTCCAGCTCGTCTTCACAAACACAAAGCAACAGTACAATTGTAGTCGAATGGATACAGAATAAAACAGTCAGAAAGTCAAAAGTGGTCATTTGGTCAAAGTGTTCTCAAACGATGACGAGAACTGTGTTAGATATGTGTTAAATATAACGTTACTAAAGACCACAAACAACAAAGTAGATCTATTCATGGAATAATGCAAAAAATAAATCCGTATTATTCTTTAAATGGTGATCTTTGGCCTCAACATGTCTGCAGTTACAGTTGCAGTTGGCACAAATGGAGCAAAGCCTGTGATAAAGTTCAAGTAAATTAGTTTAACTGCACTGTGTCAGACATGCACAACATGCTGCACTCTCTTCATATCCTATCCCTGCAAAATCCTCCTCCTAACATGCTAGTGTCCCTCCTACTATGTATTGTGTTGAAGGGTTGAAACAGCAGGCAGTGCTGCACCTCGCCCACACTTGTAAATCTTTTTCTCATGACTTCCCTTATTTTAAACGCAGGAAGTGGTGAGCTCA